AGGACAGATGCTCGAGTCTCTGCAGAACTTTGGAGACAGCCTCTGTGATCTCGTAGGGCAGTTCTTTTTACAGACTGGGAAAAAAATCGGTGACTGAGCTAGGAAAAATAATGAAGAAATGGTGGATCTGGGCAATGACCTGTTTTTCTGATTCCTGGCCCCACATAGAAGCTCCATCCAGTACAACCTCTAATGCATACAGGAAGATGAAATTCAATCCATGGGATGGGGCAGCTGGGGTCCTGTCCCTCCTTTCCCACTCACTATGTGTAACCTTGGGCAAGACTCTGACAGCCATCTAGCTCAGTGGATGGTTGTAAAATGTTCCACACTGTTGTGGAATCCTACAGGTGAGCCCACAGACAGAACAAGCTGCACATACAGGCTGGGGGCGTCCCAAGTGCTTTGCCCCAGCCCAGCCCCAGAGCATGTTAATAAACAAGACTTAGAACTCTCAGAGGGGAGATTAGTCTTCCAGGTCACCCCAGGCCCTTGAATTTTACAACGGTCATTGGTCCTTTCACACTAGAGGCCTTGTGAGTTCTGCGTGTGGTTTTAGTAGGTCCATAGGATTGAGCCCTTGCCCTGATTGCACATAAATAATAATGACACCTGCAAGAGACATTGGGCAGGAAGTGCCTGGCTGGCAGGGTCTGCATACCTCACAGTCAGGGGGCCATGGAAGTAAGACCAGAGTCCCAGGTTCTTCTCTGTTAGCCTGTGCAGAGTTTCCTGGGGACCCAGAAACCCCACCACGGCCTGCCCACCTCCTTCTCCAGGGTCACTAGGACTCCCCGCTCTTCCTCCTGCCGAGTCTCCCACGGCAGGTGGTGCCGGTGAGCCAAGTCAAGACGCCACGAGGCCCAGGGGTCCGTCCAGTAGCACACACGGCTCCTTCTTCCCCAAGTACCCAGTACTCACAGAAATGAGGCTCCACACACACTAGCTTTCCCAGGGAGCAGGGCTTTAAAAAAACTTATGAGCAATTTAAATATAAAAGTCTTTACTGGTGTAGGTGGACTCAAATGCTTACTTAAAATATGTAACTTAGTCATGTAATTATATGTTCATATTTAAAGTTTATATGTTATGTTTTAATAGAAATACTGCTATTTTCTGTATTTATCGTATTATAAAGTTGAACCGGATAAAATTGCTATTTCCTGCAGGTTTGAAAACAGGTGAATATAAGCTTTTGTGAAGTGCATCCTAGTATTTGCAGCGTCTGTCTTCTTTATCACTCACTCTACCCTCTGATCCCTTGTTCAGTTTGCCAGTGTGCAGGGCACTGCCATCCCCATCCCCTGAGATGCCGCCTCTTTTGGATGTACTCTTTTCATTGGATGTTCCCTCACAAGGTTGGCATGGCCTTGCTCTGCGTTGGGTACCCTTGCTCTGTGTTGACGTGACTTAGAACAGGCAAGGCTTTGCTCTCATTCATAGCACTTTGCGTTGCGCCGGGACCCTGAACCGGGCTTCCCTGGGGGCTCAGACAATAAAGAGTCTGCCTGCAATGCAGGGGACCTAGGTTCAATCCCTGGGTCGGGAAGATCCCTTGGAGTAGGAAATGGCAGCGCACTCCAGGATTCATGCCTGGAGAATCCCATGCACAGAGGAGCCTGATGGTCTACATACAGTCCATGGTGTCTCAAAGAATCAGACAGGACTGAGCAACTAAGCATGCAGGACCCTGGGCCATTTCCTTCACTTACCCTGTTGGTGTGGACTTCCAGGCTCTGCGGATAGCCACTTCCCAGATTACTTTTCAAGTGATTTTTAAACATTTTTACACCACCCTCCCTCATAATTTAATGGATTATGATGTCCTACTTCCAGGAGAAGAAAGCTAAATTTCTTTGCCTCTCTTTTTCTTTTAACCCCCAGCTGATCTTGCTACAAATAATTGAGGGCACCCCTTACCCCTTTCCTGAACTGTGAGAGGTTTTGTTGTTACTTAGGCAATTTATTCTCTACCAAGAATAATTTTGAATGAAAGGCTTCACTTCTAGTATTTGCACACACCTATCACCTCTCTAGGTTTCCCAGATAGCACTGGTGATAAAGAACCTGCCTGTCAATGCAGGAGATATAAGAGACAGGGGTTTGACCCCTGGGTTGGGAAGATTTCCTGGAGGAGGGCATGGCAACCCACTCCAGTATTCTTGCCTGGAAAATCCCATGGACAGAGGAGTCTGACAGGCTACAGTCCATAGGGTCCCAAAGAGCTAGATGCAACTGAAGTGACTTAGCATGCAGCACATCATCTCTATATAAACTTAATATTTGGGACTGCAAGTGGATGTCTGTTCTTGCTTAATTCCATATCTGTACTAAGTCACTTCAGTTATATCTGACTCTGCAACCCCACAGACTGTAGCCGGCTAGGCTCCTCTGTCCATAGGATTCTCCAGGCAAGAATACTGGAGTGGGTTGCGGTTCCCTTCTCCAAGGGATCATCCCAACCCAGGGATCAAACCCAGGCCTTTTAAACATCTCCTGCATTGGCAGGCAGGTTCTTTACCACTAGTGCCACCTAGGTAGCTTAATTACACATATTTGAATACAAATACTTGACTACTTCATTGTAAGAAAACAGAGCCCTGCAGACTACCCAGGACCCAGGGAAGAAATTCAGATGAGTCAGAGGTTCTCAGCTCTGGCTGCTTGTTGGAGTCACCTGGAGAGCTTTGAGAAACACTGATCCTGGTGCCTCCTCCAGGGATACTGATGGATCTGAGGCATGGAGATCTTTCCAAGCTCTCCAGGTGATCCCACGCAGCAGATCCCAGCCTGCAGCCTCTCCCTCGGAGATGCCCTCCAGGCAGAAGTCACATGGCTATGGCACCTGTTTCGGGTATCCAGTCTGTGGGAACATCCTCATGTGACCTCCTCCCTCCACACAGCACCCCTCAAACTTCCCTGTGCTCCTGTACCAACTCCTGAGCTCTGGGGCGGAACCCAGGAATGTGCATTTATCATGCACGAGGGATTCTGCAAGATGCGAGCATCCCCTGATGGACTTACCAAGAAGATGGACGTGAAGCAAGGCGCATAGCCTTGCCTCTCAGGGAGAGTCTATTCTGGTTTGAACGTGCCAGGACCCTCGGCAGAGGAGGTTTGAAAAGGCTGTGCCCTGTCAGAGCACTGTGCCCTCTGAGCCTTTCATCCTTCTAAAGTGAAAAAAAAAAAATTGTGATCTTGCTTGTTAGACTAGAAAGCAGAGGAATTCACCTGGGGCGCAGAAGCTCCTTTGGGAGCACAGATGATGGCTGCTTCTCACAGATGAAGGGCTCCGCATCAAGCCTGTGCAGGAGGGCTCCTCCCAGGCCCTGGAGAAGGCCCTTCCTCCAGCACAGGCCAGGGTGGGACCGAGGGGAGAAATGGGGAGACACATGATGCAGATAGCGCCTGGCATCCTCAGTACGCGTGGCATTCAGAGAGGCCTTGCTCCCCTCTCTCACCCCTAGGTGCCTGTGTCCATCCCAGCTGGGCTGCTGCACCCATGGTCTTTGCTTTATTCAAGTTTTCCAGAGTGCTCTCAGAACCCTGTAAACCAGAGATTGTGTGCACGTTAGTGGACCCCAGATGAAGAGTGTGTGTGTGGGCCAGGCTCTCTGGCCGGGAGCTGAATAACTTAATGGAGAGACGGATGTAGGGGCTCCCAGGAAAGCAAGTGAGGGCAAGGAGTTGGCAAGAAGGATTGGGGGAGGGAATCCTGATGCTGGATACTGGGGAGGTTCCCTGTAAAATACTTAAAAGGAGGAACCAGAAGAAGAGCAGGAGACAGAACACAGTCTTAAAAGGCCTCTCTATGGGAGGGCGGGATGATCTGCCGAACTACACTGGTTTGATTTTAGCCATCTGCGAATGCTGGAGATGCCAAGAACTAGGGATTGAGTGTCTAAATTGAAACTGTTAGCCCCCGTATTAGTCCATGAGTCCATCATGCAAGAAAGTTTGCACTTCTTCATTTCCTGTATCTTTACTTAATTCTGAGCTCCACCCTTCCAGGCTTGTGGAAATTCAACCCCATGATTGTTGGGTTCCTCCCTACATCCAGGGCTGGGCAAATGCCTGGGATCCTTGTGTGGCACAAAGTGCCAGGGATATCCCTGTGGTCATCAGGTTCAGTCCCTTCCTGGGTACCAGCAGGCCACCCTGCTCACTATCTGGAGAATTTAAAGCCCAGCTGGTTCTCTGGAACAGGAGTGAGAGGGTGGGAGGTAAAGTGCAATGAGCATAAATTAATATTTCAGCAACGTGTCTTAGCCATCTCAGGCTGCTGTAATGAAATACCACATTCTGGGTGACTTGAATAACAAGACATTTATTTCTCATAGTTCTGGAGGCTAAGTCCGAGATCAAGGTGCTTAGCGTATTGGCTCTTAGTGAGAGGCCACTTCCTGGCTTGCAAACAGGCGCCCTCTTGTGTGCCCTCACATGGTGGAAGGAAAGAACCCTGATCTATCTCCCTCTTGTTATAAGGACACTAATCTTATCACGGGGGCCCCACCCTCATGACCTCATTTAAACCCAATTACCTCCCAAAGGACCTACTTTCAAATACCATCTCACTGGGGATTAGGGCTTCCTGAGTCGCCCACACAGTAAAGAATCTGCCTGCAGTGGGGGAGACCCGGGTTCTCCCTGGGTTGGGAAGATCCCCTGGAGAAGGAAATGGTAAGCCCCTCCAGTTTTCTTGCCTGGAGAATCCCGTGGACAGAGGAGCCTGGTGGGCTACAGTCCATGGGGTCACAAAGAGTCAGACAAAACTGAGCAACTAACACACACAGGGGCATTAAATATTTGGAGGTGGAGGGGACCCAGACATGCAGTCTGTAACATCTTGAAACAGTTTTCCTTCGGGCCACTGGTATGCAGCCAAGCCCTCTTGAACTATGATTATTTCAAGCACTTAGGAATGACATGCAGGGACCAGAGCCAGGAGTGGCATCGTCAAAGCCCCTCAGCCCGAGCTCAGCTCTCCCTGTCTCTGGCAGTGCTCGTCGACCTGTGGGAAGGGCCTGCAGTCCCGCGTGGTGCAGTGCATGCACAAGGTCACCGGGCGCCATGGCAACGAGTGCCCTGCCCTCGCCAAGCCAGCCGCCTACAAACAGTGCCACCAGGAAGTCTGCAATGACAAGATCAACGTGAACACCATCACCTCCCCTCGCCTCGGTGAGTGCCTCTGCCGAGCCCCCACTCCTGGGGCTGCTGCACCCCCTGGCCAGGGAGTCCCCACTGGTGGTGGGAATTCTGTAAGCCAGAAAATGTACTCCTTGGGCCTTATGTGAGCTCTGGAGAGGCCAACATGTGTCATTTCTAGAGAGGATCTGAGGTTTCAGAGATGGAATTTCATTCCTTGTCATGAAAAAGATGCCTCAAACCCTTGAGCCCCTCTCCCAACAAAGGGCAACATGAGAGAATGCTCCTCAAATGTTTTGGGATTCTCTGCATGAAGGAGGCAAAGGGAGGTGCTTACTCAGGAAATGAAGGATCTGGGGGTGTCATTTATGAAATGGTCCTGAAGCTGATGCTCAAGAAGGAAACAGAGGTCTTGACAGATGGGAGTCTTTAATTCAGCAGAAGCTTTGGTGTTAGCAGTCTACTCAGCCCTTTACCTGGCCACGTCCCCAGCCTGTGGTGACCCCAAAAGAAGAATGTCTAGCGCTGATCTGATGATTCCACTGAAAGAGTTTCTGCTTTTCTGAATAGAAATCCCTCGGGAACAGTTTCCCAACCAGAGCCCCTTTCCCTAATGCTGGGATGCCACCAACGTGAAGGGGTTTCCAGACAAGCTTTACTGGGTGGGGGGGTCTTCAAGCTTGCCGAGGTGTTCGCCAGACTTTGGCACGCACAGCCCTCCTTGGCATCCTCCAGAGGCCTCGCTGAGGCAGGACTGTGTCTCTGCATGACCAAGAGCAGGACGATTCAGGCCACTTGCTTGTGCTGTGACCATGTGCTTTTGTGGGCCCTTGGATGTCCACTCCCTGCGCCCTTCTGTTTTATAAATGCCAACAGATGGCATCCTCACCTGTAAAATGACTGTGGATGCCGTTTAGCTCAGAAGCAGGGGGGCAGTGCCCTCACACCAAACCCAGAAATGGTCAGGTTGGACTCAGAGTGTCCCTTGTAAAAGCTACGGCTCTGGCAGGGGCATGGTCCCCCTGGTCTGTGCAGGGTTCCAGCGTCCACGTGGGTGAGGGCGGCCGGGAGTGTCATCCGCAGGCACCCATAACCCCTGGGCTTTCTCTCTCCACCATCCCCTCAGCGGCTCTGACCTACAAGTGCACACGGGACCAATGGACAGTGTACTGCAGGGTCATCCGAGAGAAGAACCTCTGCCAGGACATGCGGTGGTACCAGCGCTGCTGCCAGACGTGCAGGGACTTCTATGCGAACAAGATGCGCCAGCCGCCCCCGCCGCCGAGCTCCTGACAGGCGGCCCGGTGGTCCCGCGATGCTCCGACGCGAGGTCTGAGTCCCGACGACACGGCTAGATGAAAGCCCACCCGCCTGAGAGCCTGCCAGGCCTGCGGCCGGGACCCACTGAGGCACACCGCGGCTCACCCTGGAGGCTGTCCCGAGAATCTGACTGCATAGAACTTGAGAGTGGACTTGACGTTTGCTTAATGCTTTTATACTTAATATATTGTTAACAGCCACTGGATGGCTTTCTACGATAAGGAAAAAGATAGGCATGAGTCACAAAATAATTGTAATTTCTAAGTTCCACGTACCTCAAAGGGAACACCTCTGACAGACGGTCGTCAAGAGAGACGTCACGGGCGCCCCTGTCTTGACTTTTCCTCTGACTTTTGAATTCCTAGTGCTTGATGTACCGCGGGGTGGGGGTGAGGGGAGGGGGGAGGATATCCAAAAAAATGAGATGCTTTCCTTTAAAAACAGGCTTTATTCTGAAAGCCAGTGATGCTCTGGATGGGAGGAGGCTTCTCTGGAGAGGGGGCGCTGCTGGAGCTCCCCCGACACCACCAGGACGCCACGTGGCGCTGTGCCAGGTCAGGGAACGTGCTTTCTAGGTCCTGGGTCTCTCCTCGGAGGTCTTGTCCCTGGGAGGCTGAGTTTGTGTGAACCACCAAGGATGCCAGGGCTACGCAGCTCTGTACACCAGCCACATGGGGGAGCATGTTCCAGTGGTGTCCGGGCTAGAGGACGCAGCTAGTGTTCAGATCTCTGCGGTCCCCCACACAGGGAGACAGCCGCTCCTCAAGGTGCTGTGCGCGGAGGCACGTGCTGGTCTAGCCCTTGGGCTTGCTGCCTGCATCGAGGTGAGCTCAGCGCAGCTTTGTGAGGCTGGGGGCGTTCCCTCTCTGCTCCCGGGGACCTCTGCTCTAGCCAGTACTTCACGAAGCTTTGCCCATTAGAGATGGCTTCACCCTGACCCTGGCCATCTATCTGAAGTTGATTCTTCTTGGAAGCTCTGACTCAGGCTCAGACCTGGTGCTTCACCCTGACATGGGGCGGGTGTCCTCCAGTACCACTCAGCCTGGTGGAGGAGTGGCCCCTGCCCAGGATGGCTGTGTGCCCATCCCTCTCTCCTGTGGTCCAGACCGTGCAGTGTTCATCACTGTGATGCTGTTGTTCCTGACCCACGTTAGTGGGGCAAGGATGACAGAAAAGCCTCAAGAAGGTGTTTGCCTCCTATGGTCACCTTACCCCTCATAGTTGGGCCCTCTCTGAGCCCAGGGAGATGACAGGAGTGTATGAAAGCACAAAAGATGGTAGGACCCTGCCCGCTGGGGAGCTTGGGGAAGGGGACCCGGCATGCCGGGAGGTCTGGTCTGCTGGCCAGCTCAGTGGGTGTTTGATGGGTGCTTCTGTTCAAGGACTTTATCATGAAAAACCCATCCTCTCCTCCTTTATGTCAGAGGGGAATCTTACTTAGGCTAATCTCCATGGGATCATCTCCAAGTGCTTCTTGATTTATTGGTGCTGTGTTTATGTATCTGTGTTTGTGTTTTTGACGTCACAACTTTGGAGTCAGCTTAAATCAGAAAGAAAGAGACACTCTGCCCTCTCCAGCCTGCCCTGCGGGCTAGCTTTGCTTTCTGATTGTTACTACCCCGGAGGCAGAGAAGTGGTCAGATGGCCGAGCATCTGTTCAGTTCCACTTGAATCTGTGAGAAGTGTTGAGAAAGCGCCTTAGGTGCTCTGTGAAAAGACCCCAGAGGGTGCCAGGCTGGGGCAGCCCACCTGCAGGGTGAGCTCCCGCGGCTGCCTAGAGCCTGTGCAGAACGCTGTCCTCCCTGCTCCGGCTTGGCCGTTAGCAGGCTCCCCCAAGGCACTCAAATCCTTGGGGGAGCTAGGGCTTAGTTTTCTTCCCGTCCCAGATGGGCTGGACTTTGCCACAGATGGATGGAAAGCTCTCAGCCTTGGGGGCTGAGGAGCGGAATCAGGGCCGCCAGCCAAGGAAGTCAGGGCAGCCTTGCTTGCTGCCTGTATGGGAACCACGGGCCCACCCGAGCCGGGCAAGCCTGTGCATGGCCCAGAGGTGAGCCCTTTTCCTGGTGCCTCTCAGTCTTCCCGCTGGCCACCCTGGCCGTATCAACTGGACGCCCCTGGCAAGGGCCCCACACCCTCAGAATGCAAGTGATCGATTCAGTTATCGTTAAACATCCCTTTGGTTCCCCAAAGTTCGGGTTTTTCTGAGCTCTTGTAGCTCTCGCTGGCACTGTCGCTCTGAAATTCACCAGCCCACCTTCTGTTCACGGCACAAGCAATGGTTGATCTCGGTGAAGCTGTCATGGCATTCTTGCTCCACTTTGTACAGAAGACAGGGAAACCCTGTCATTGCAACAGCGATGTTTCTTTATTAACAATACCCTGTACTGTCACTCAAGTACTGTACCTTTTTGGTTGCACAAATGTGTTACTAACTACAGACTCTCACAATCGTATGGTGCTATTTCATTGGTGCAAATGAAACCCTCTCAGCTGACCATGGCTTGATATTATCAGAACACAGGGAAAGATCCTCAATGGCAATAATATCATTGCTCTGTTCTCTTTTCTTCATTTCAGAGTCAAATGTATATATTTTCCATTAGTTAACTTACGTACTGTACCCATGGTATTTTTGTTTTACTTTTTGGTGCTGGTTTGAAAGAAAAAAAAAGAACAGAAGACAAACATTGGACACCACTGTAAATGAAAAATTAATCATTTCATTGGAAGTGAGTTGAATATGTTTAATAAAATGTTCTTCCATAACAACGTTAAGCTGTCTGTGAAGTAAAAGACAAAAACCAGTCCTCGAGGGCTGGTGGAGGGAGACTGTGTCCTTTCCTTCTGCTGCAGTCACCCTGCTGGCCTGGGACTTGGCTGCAAGGAACCGCAACCTGCTGACCACAGTTGTGCAGCTGTCAGAGGTCTCTGGTAAAGGCAGCGGGTGGCTGCGTCTCCCTGAGGGAGCGCTAACAAACCATGCAGTCCTGCAGAACCCTGGGTGGAGGCATGAAGGTTTGACAGCTGAGCCGTGAGGCTGAGAGTCTGACACAGAGCAGCCACCTCACTGGTAGATTCACCCAGGCTCGGTGGGGGCGCAGTGGCCCCTCTGCAAGTGGCCCCGTCATGCCAGAATGAGTGCCTGCTCCCCAGAGCCTTGCCCTTTCAACCCTTAGCCTCTCTCCTAATCCTGCTGACAGCTCCCCTCCTGCGGGTGTGAGGCAGACCTGGCCCTTCTGACCTCCCAGGCTGGGGGCTCAGCACAGGCACCACACCTTCACAGCAGGGACCTCTGGAGCCCTGCTGGGCCTGACATGGAGCAGGGATGTCGCAGCACCTGCCGCTGGAGGGAACTGGCTCCTCCTGGCGTCAAGGGGAAGAGCTCCCCCAGAGCTTCATTAGACAGAATGCCTCTTTTTAATGTTGGAGCAACACCCAGAAGTTTCACAAAATAAAGACCATTTGTTTAGCCAACAGCTAACTCCCCATAGTTCCCCCGTCACCAAGAAACCTGTAGGTTGCATTAATTCCCATGAACCATCAGCCACCTGCCTCCAGGACCTGTTAGAAGCGTCTCTTTGCCCTGAGAGTTCTGATCTCTCTGGCGGGTTAACTTCTAACAAATCTGATGCTATATAATTTTTTTATAAGCTGCTTAGATTCCAGTCTATTACAATGAAATTGACAAGCAAGCAATCAGCAAGTGTTGGGCGAGCTTCTACTAGGAACCAGCACTTCCTGGAGCCACCGAGAACACAAATGGACCAAAGACCTGCTCTGGTGCCCGCAGCCCCTCAGACCAGCCTGGAGTCCTGGACAACAGAGAACAAGAGAAAGCCGCAGGAACTCTGAGACGGAAAGGTCAGGACTTCCCTTGTGGGTCTATTGATTGCCCTCTGGGCACAGGTTAGAAGGCTTGGCATTGAAATCCTTTCCAGTGGCGCTCACCATCTGCAAGACTTTTGGCAAAAGCCCTTATGTTTCTGCTTCTAGATACAAATCTGCCTGCATCTGAAACCTCCTTCTCTGACAACTGACCTAGTCCTCATGGAAGGCCAGCCCTCACACCTTCCACTGAGCTCCCATTGCCTCTCTGCACTCCCTCTCTACCTCCAGACTTTCATTCATTGTCCAAACCTCTCCCCTGGCTTTTGCCCCCTGCACTGACGCTATTCTTAACCCCATCGACCTTCTGGGTGTGACCTGCAGACATCTTCAGCAACCCTCTCCCTTGGGACACCCTCCTCTCCTGACTTCCCCTCCTCTGTTCCCTAGCTCCCCTCCCTCCGGCAGCTCTCTAGATGATAGGGTGCTCCAGAGCTCAGTCCTACACCTGCTTCTCTCTCTTTCCTTTCTCCCTGGGTCATGTCACCCACTCAAGGCTTTTGCAACCACTGACATTTTGGTATCTCCCAAATTAACCTCTTCCATCCTGGCCTCTCTCTCAGCCTCCGTATTCATGCGTGCCCTCTGCACATGCACAGTCAATTCCACGGGAAGCCCCGAGGCTGGGATGGCCCCTCAGAGGAGTTCTAGTTTGGAGATTCAGTGGGGATGGCTCATCTCTGCTCCATGTGGCACCCTGTGGGGTGGCTCCAAGGACAAGTAGAGCCTGGGACTACCAGAAGGCTCAGGCACTTATAAACTTGGCAGCTGATGCCAGCCTTAAGAGCTTCAGCTAGGACCGCTGACCAGAACACCTATAAGCAGCCTTGCCAAGGGGCTGCTTAGCAACCCCGAAGTATGATGGCAGAGTCTCAGTGGCAAACATCCTGAGTGATGGGGATGCTCATGAGAACTATGTCCCCTCATAGGACAACTCAAAAGTTACACAACCTCACTTCCACCATCCTCACAAAGGCCCACTAACGTTCAAAGGGAGGAGTAAAGAGTTCATCTCTTGCTCAGAGAATGGAAAGGTTCTGGACGAGTGTGTAAGATGGGAAAGATTGTTGTGGCCATTTGAGGGAAGA